AAAGTAGTGAAAAGTCTTTTTTTTTTTACTCTCCTAACCGTAAAGTATCGGAAGTGGAACCTCATAAAATGGTATACCACATGAACAGGAATAAGAGAATTCAGATGTGCAACTCCTGTTGTTTGAAACGTCCTAAGTTGTTTGTACTGGCCTAACCGCCACTCCTAACCTCAGAATTGACCCTGGGAACTTCACCTGGGAATGAATACCGAACCGACTAGAAGAGGGGGTTGTGTGATACGTCAGTCAAGGATTCTATTTTGTGGGATTGGAGAGTAGAAATCCTAGGCCAAAGCCCAGTGAGTCTTCCTAGCCGATCTTTTTTCATATAAAAGAATTGCAGTCATCGTGACCGATTACGTCTCAAAGTCTTCCTAGAACGGCTTCTTTCTAGTCCTAAGGGTGGGACTCAAGCAAGATGAGCGGCAAATTTCCTTCTTTAAAAGACTGACAGCCCTTTTAAGCGTTCTTCTTTTGTTCGGTTTTTTCGACCGAATGTGAGCAATGGTGCTGTACCTCAAATGGATCAAGTGGCGTCTGATATACCGGTGATTTTGATCAACCCGATTCCCTTTCCTAAAGGGACATGGAAAGCCTACCCTTTTTGTTTGCATTTTCCCGGGATCTTGGATAGCACCTTCATTTCCCTTCTGAAGAGTGTCCTCTGACCGAGAAAGTTGCGTCGGATATATGGGCGAAAGCTAGCAAGTCGATTTCCATGCATAGCAGCATCTTCCGATTGATTCCTTGCCTGCCGGAAATCTCATAAGAGAAAAAATGAGAAAATGAATTCAGCCTGAAAAGAGAATCAAAGTCACAAGGTCCAATGTTCATAAGTCCCTTGCCGCAGGTGCGATGGTTCCAAGGTTCAACAGCAAAGTCACGACTTTCCAGCCCCACTAAATGGTATCGCCAGAGTCCCGAAACACTTTTCCCTTAGCCAACCTCGCTTCTCCTTCTAAATCTAGAACTTAGTCTAGCAGATACAGATAGAAGGGTTGATGGGCCACTCTTCTATGGCATTTTATAC